TGGAGAGCCCGCCTGCGGGTGGAATCTAGCTGTAGCGTGGCTGCTCACCCTAGGGTTTCCCTATAAAAGGGAAAGCTTGTTCACACGATTTGAGTGAGCGGAGCTTGAGCGATTTCTCAATGGAGCTTCTTGGCGGCGGAATTTGTTTTCCCTTTGCGATTTTGAGCTCCCATTTGTCCCAGCTCTCAGGAATTAAAGAGGGGGAAGTTAAGTAATTAAAGAGGGCGAGTTAAGAGAGAGAGATCTACACTGTAGCTACAGTGTAGACTAACATCCATTTAAGAAATCTTAAGTTTGAGATCTTCTCTTTACAAGTTTGTAATTTCTTATGGTTAAATAAGAAATTATCCGTGCAGCTCATGTGGACGTAGGCAAGTTTGCCGAACCATGTAAATATGTTGTCTCATTTGATTTACTTAGTGTTTTATCTGTGTATGCGTTTTTGCTTGTTGTTCTCTCTCTCGGTGATTTAGCTTCCACAAGCGGTCAAGTTGACGTCCCTCGCTCCCAACAAGACTAGCACATGAAATATCACAATTCCTCCCTTTTAGGAGGTTCAATAGAGGGTTTCTTTAATTAATATAAAGGTCTATATTATTCGGTATCAAATGTTACATCATAACTCTGAAGTTTAGATATAATGTCGGGTCCTTTAACATTGTATCCACACAATTCAAATTCTATTTCTATCGGCTCAACAAGACTAGCACATGAAATATCACAATTCCTCCCTTTTAGGAGGTTCAATAGAGGGTTTCTTTAATTAATATAAAGGTCTATATTATTCGGTATCAAATGTTACATCATAACTCTGAAGTTTAGATATAATGTCGGGTCCTTTAACATTGTATCCACACAATTCAAATTCTATTTCTATCGGCTAATTAATATAAAGGTCTATATTATTCGGTATCAAATGTTACATCATAACTCTGAAGTTTAGATATAATGTCGGGTCCTTTAACATTGTATCCACACAATTCAAATTCTATTTCTATCGGCT